CTAAGCTGTGTAAATGAGGCCAAACTGTAATTGCTGTGTGGGCAGACAGTGCCTGATAGTTTAGGAAGTGGCTCAAAAGTCAGAAACTTTTAAAAAAGAGTATCTGTCTAATCTATGGGAAGTCTCATGCCCTTACTGTAAACTCGTGCAGAATTATTACTTAATCACTGCTCAGTTTCTACTGAACCTGTCAAAATATGACTACGTCTCAATGTTTGTGTGTTTACTGTGAGTCTCAGTGCCTATTACCTGTCATATAAAATGTCTATGTAGATGATGATTCAGCAAGGGAAACAGGAAAAAAGAAGGAAGAACACACTCAATGTAATCCGTGTGATTAAAATAATACCACTTTGGAATATCCTTATATACACTTTTCTCAGGAAATCTATACGCTAGTCCTGGAAATTCAGTGTTACACTGGTAAGGAAGTCATGCCTGACTGCATTTTGCCCTGTCTTCACCTCCTTCTCCTGAAAAAAAAAAAAAATGCCAAAAAAATGAAACATGGACTGGGGCCCAATCTGGGGCCCAGGCCATGTGGGGAAAAGTGGTGGAAGAAGGATATTTGTGTGAGTGCAGATTAATGCTACTCTGCATTCTTTTTACTCTTCCATCATGATGTATACTGCTGAAAAGACCAATGAAAATTTAAAGCAGGATTTTTTTTTTCCTTATCCTATTAAAAAAAAAAAAAAAAGAATTACTGTTGTTAACATAAAGAAAATGCATTGAAATATATTAATTGAAATAATCATTCCCTTTATTTTTGGTGCTTAGGGGTTAGAGGATTATAGTGTAATAATTTTAATAATACTCTGGAGGAATGTGTGTGTATGTGTGTCCAGGCACAAAGATGTCTTTTAAATTATTTTTAAATTATCTTCTTTATACCTATAAATTCAAAGATAAATAAAATGGTAACATTTTGTTAATTAAGCGTTTCAGAATTGTAATACATTAAATATGGAAAGCCTGGAATTAGATTAGAATGTTAAATCTCAATGAGAACAAAACTTTCCAAATCTGAAAGTTCTTAATATTTAGAAGTTCTCAAACATGCTTTATTTTGAAAGCTGACACAGTATACTGCATAATAAAATATTTTGCAGGCTGCCATACTTAATGTAAAGAAATGTGATTTCTCACTCAGAAAAAAAATGCATTGTACAGAAGTGCTGATTGCATTTATTCTTACTGTAAATGCAGAGTGAATCGTGAGAGTCAACAGGGTCACCACGTGGCATTTTTGTCAATGAAAGTTTAGCAGATCTAATTTTATTTTATTGTGCTTTACATGAAGTCACTGTACATGACTGTGCAGTATACAATGAGCCACTTAGTTGGAATGAGTCAGGGAATTCTTCTGATGTAACCAGAACTAACCAGCAGTCAATCATGTCCCCTTCTCCACCAGTGTCTCACACAAGAATTATATTTATCTTATATATTAGTGAGGCAGGACGATTGGATTTATTTTAGTTTGGGGAGAAGTAACTTCCCATGGCTGTCTTAAGATAAACATTTTCTGTGTGTATGCATGTGTGTGTGTGTGTGTGTGTGTGTACACCTCCAAAATTTTATCTCTAATTTAAATCAGGTATTGGGTATGATAACCCATCATATGCTTTGCCCATCGATAACCCATCATATACATTGGGCAAACCAGATCTAAAGTAATGTATGGTTTTCCTATTGAAAACCTGCCTTAGTTTTTTTTTTGTTTTTAATACCAAATGATGGGCTGCTTACGGTATGAAGAAGCTTATAAGCATTTTTAAAACTTGTTGAAGCCTTAGGAAACTATCTAATGCAGCATTTTCTAAAGTAATGTCTGAAATCAAGGTGTTTTCACTCATGGGAAATAACAGGGAAGGTAAGTATATCTGCTTCAATTATAAATGTTCTGTAAAATTAAGCTAATTGATTCAACCAGTTTAATATAAATGAATCCTTTAGTAAAGGAATTAGATGTGCTTTCAGTATACTTGGCATAAATATGCCTCCTACCAGAATGTACTTCTCTTTTGACTGATATATTTCTTATAGCAATTTAAGATTGGAAGGGACCTACACTATTGATTTAAGTTCTATTAAAAAAAAAAAAAAAAAAAAAAAAAAAAGCCTCAAGGACACCCTGCATCATGAAATGACTTTGGTTACTTTCCCTCGTTGTTCGTATTGTCAGGCTATTGAAGAACCTCCTCCTCTGATGATCGAAAAGCTGGGAGGCTTCCAAAACCACCACCTGCTGCCTGGAGGCAGGGAGGGATGGAGATCCTGAGTGCACCAGATGGGACAGGACCTTTGCTTTACAGGTGGCTTTTCTCATTAGGCTAATCAGCCCATCAAGTGCGCTGAGGTGGCCTTCGTTTTTACGGATAAGGCATGCTACAACTTCAAGTATTTCAGAGAAGCATTGCGATTCTTGCTTTCAGGTTGTTATTATTTTTTAAAATGGCTTTCAGTAGGTTATGCTGGGCATTTCTTAGTGGTGTACATCCTGGTGCTTTTTATTTTTTTATGTATTTTATTATTAGCTAAAACATTTAGACATCATCTGGAAGAAACTCAGGAACAGAAAATACACACACATGCACAAAGGATTTTTTCTTGGTGTCAGTTTTAACAAGAAAAAATGAATCAATCTCCAAATGTCATGTTCTAAAGAAGACTTCAGGGAATGACTGCATCATGTTACTGTAACCATCTGAGTAAACTGAATCAGCGTTTATATTTCAAACAAATGAAAGATGCTCATTAATGTGAAGTTGATACTAACATTTTTCTGCCCTTTTTTGATGTGTTATGTAGGATTTAAATTTCTCATGTATGTTAGCTTGCACAGGCAAAAATTGTTGTTGTTCTTTTTTTTCCTGTTTATCATGTTTCCGCAGTTAGTGCTGTTTGCTGAACAGTTCCTGTAAAAGAAAGTTCAGTCCTCCATAGAAATACACCTTGCTACAAGACTGTGGGTAATATTCCTGGTGTTTCTGTGCTTACCAGGCAGAATTAACAGCTCACATCACCTTTAGCCATTCAAAACCCAGGTGAAATATTAATTAAAATATTAAAACATCTAAAGTTAGCAAAGCAGACTTTTTTTTCCCCGTTCTTAGTAGGATTTCTGAAAATCAAACCACTATCTTTAATATGAATAGACCAATTGGCACAGATAGGGCCCACCAGTGGTATCCCACCATTTTACGAAGTCTGACTCTTTTGTTTTTTTTAAAGTCTTCCTATTTTCCTTTGGCTAAAATATTTTATATTAATAACAGGATTGTTATTGTTTATAACAGGAAAAATGAATATTCTTTACACAACTATATAGTATGCATTCTAAAATTCTGTTTCAAGTTGCATAATGACAAAATATGACTTTTTTTAATCTGTTGAAGCACTTTTGGTCTAATCATAGGACTGGAATAGACTTGAAGAAATAACCTGGGCAATCTTTCTGCCTCAGGGAAGAATTAATTATACCTATGTATTCTTGACAAAATGTCCATATAATCTATTGTAAAAGACCTCCAGCTATGGGAATTTCATGGTCTCCTCAGGCAGATTATATTAGTACTGTTTGATGTCAGAGGTTCTATGTCCCTTTGTGGTCCAAACAAATTTCAGAGAGGTGGTAATCACCTCCTTTCTCGTTGTCCTCTGGTCTTTCAAGAATAGTCAGCTTTCTTGTATGTGTGTCTTGACATAATGGGTAAACTTTGGTAGGATGGAGAATATGATGATGGAAACAAATTGGCCTCTCTGAGGGCAATTTTAACTATTAGTGTGAGTTAATGCGGTCCAGGCATTGCAAAATTGCTCTGTTTCTCTTGCTGTCCCACAAGTGAAAAAAATCTTTAGGAATTCCAATAATCAGGTCTTTAAGCTGGATAAGACTAATGCAGAGTAGGCCTGTACTAGTACCAATAATGAATAATTTATAGAAGGAAAACACATGGCTTGGTGGTAAAAACATGTATTAATGGAGACCAACCTTGAGACAAATGTGTTCATATTTACCAGGAAAATAAAAATAGTATTTAAGGCTGTAAAAGTTGTGAACTTCATTAAAAGTAAACCTAGCAATACTCACTTCTTATTATATTATGTGCGTGCTAACAGGCATTCTGTATCTTGCACATAGCACTACCTTTCAAACAGCAAACTTGAAAAATATGTTTAATCCCTGAATATGGCCATGGGTTTTCCTTGTAAATGCAAGATTTAGACTTGTTAAGCCATTAACTGTTGTTAACGTCCTTTTACTTGGGTTTTGCATTTAAATATTTTAGAATAGTGGTCCTGATAAGGACCACCGGAGTTTTGCAAAGTGTGTTTTTAAACCTTTGTTATAATTTTAAGCACTTTTTTCCCCCCAGGAAAAATATGGTTCTGTTCATAAGGATACTACAAAACATTAAATGTCTATCTGAATCTCTTTGGTGTATTGTACGTCTTTGAAAAAAACCCAGCCTCTTAATTTATCATTTTTAAATTACATAAAATATCAATAATTAATCAATGTGAACATTTCCTGAATATTTCTTGGAATATTCAGGAGAAGCATTGTTAGTTGGTTCCATCATATTTATATGAACCATTCAGTGAGCTAATCTCATCTTCTCAGAATATTTTAACACTCTTGATTTCAAAACTTGAGATAATTTCCACCATGTAAATGAGCATTAATAATGAGCAAAAAAATATATATTCTAGATATGAATGCATCCTGATTTTCTTGAAAACTTATGTGAATGATACTATGACTAAAGAGAGCCTGGACATTATGGATGTGGAGTTTTTCAGAAAATAAGTTCAAATAGTAGACAGAAAATGTTTTAATGTCAAAATCATTTAAATAAGACATATGAATGTTAATACTATAGTACTGACATAATATGCCTCTCTGGTGAATATGTCTAGTGTTACATGTGAATTAGAGAATTTGGTTCCCCTTAATTTACAAACAAAATATTTATTCTATTTCAATGCAGGTTGCTTTTCCAGACTTGATGTTCCTTGTTGGATATAAGGTTGCATGTTTGCAATAATTTCTTACATTCTTCAGATGACTCTAAGAGAATGGTGTCAGATACATCTTCTTGCATCTGGTGAGTGGACTCAGAGGAAGACAGAGATGAAGATGACTGGACTTTTGAACAAGAGTATGTATTGGTGTCCTGTGGCTCAGAGCTATCATCTGTTCTTTTTGCTCACTTCAGACAATCTCGATGATATATTCAGGATTTGCAGTCCTACACCAGTGGGGAAATTACTTAAGGACTGGAGCCTGAAGCACCACACTGTATTCACTTGTCTGCAGTTACCCCCTTGGGACTTGGGAAGAGCACAAGTTGTTTGCTAGTTTGTATCCTATATTGTAAGAGGGAGGGTTAGATGTCCTGATGCTGATATTCTGTGCATTAGGGTTTTTTCCCTCTGGAATTTTCCAACTCGGACAACATTCCCAAGTTGCTGCTTTTGGAACTGATTATAATACCTGTCTAACATTTCTGTGTTGAAGCTCATTTTCGAAGACAAAGTCAGGGAGATTTTTGGTAAGGCTGCTATTTAAGAATATTTTGCTTCCAATCTTTCCTAAATCTCTATTGACCAGATCTAGCAGAGTACAAATCTGCTGCATCTATTAACTATGCAGAAGAACTAGATTCCTCACAAAACCTGAATTTAAGTTCTACCTCTCAGCTAGGGTGTGCCAGATGGCTCTCAGGATTGCACTATAATTATTGTTTCCTGATAAGACCTATCTTTGTTAAGAGCAGCAAAAACTGCCTTATCAGCCCACTGAAGTAAACAGAGAAGGGTCATAATGCTCCACAGAATCAAGCAAACCCAAGTTATTTTTATTTGATTATTGAAACTAAAAAAATGTGGTCTTTCTGTTTTTGGTCTTTGTGTTTTTGTGTTTTTGTGTTTTTGGTTTTGTGGTCTTTGAGTTTATTTCTCAACTGCAAATGTAGGATGTTTTTCTATATCTATCAAGAATAAATTTCTGATCTATCTAGAAATTTCTGGTCTAGAGACCTTTTTCCTTAGTGGGATCAGATTTTCCTTATCTGCTGCCTGATAAACAGGTTTTTTGAAGCCTGCGACCAACTCCTCCTTGCTTCATGCCTTTGAAAAATAGTCTTTTTGGTTGATGAAGAATTTTGAAGGAACGTGAGAGAGCTTCAAATTAATTCCTTTATCAGGTTCAGTAAGAGAACCTGATTTCTCATGATGCCTGTAGAATTTTTCCCAGTATGTTGCCTCATATTTTAACAGAATTGCATATGAATTCATTAATTCATTAATTTATCTCCTTTTTTTTTTTTTTTTTTGTTTTTTTCCTCCACTGAATTTTTGCTGCTCTTGTCAAGGTGACTCTCCATACTTCAAAGATTAGGTATGCTGTTCTGTATGAACAGGAACTTCTCTCCTCCCTTCCTCTTCCCTCTCCTTCCATAGCAAAAAATGCAATAGCACCCATCTTTAAACAAAAGAAAATTAAAATTATGCTTCCAAGTATCATTTATTTTTACACTCTGATGTTCTCTTCCTAAGGACACGAAAAAAAAACAAACAGGGTCAAAAGGAACCTCAACAAGTACCAGAAAATAGTGAAAATAAACCTCAGACAAAATGTAACTTTAAAGGGGGAAGCCAAGACAGATTGCTGGAGCTGAAAGTTATGCAACTTGGGCTTTCAGTATTGACTGGTTTTCAGGCACATGCTTTGATGATAGAGATAGGGCAGGCTTAGTCTTAGTTCTACAGTACTCTGTTTCCTTCCTCAGTTGCAAATTATGAGTATGTCAGAACGTAGCCCTGAGCAGTCGTGCATCTGGGGATCTTCCTCTCTCTCCACAACCTCTGAAATTATGAACAATAGACAGCTGCATTTATTCTGTGGGGCAAGTAGTTTCAAAACAAACCCTATGAATCTGAAAAGACGTAGCTAGAAAGAAGTAGAAAGTTGTAGACGTGGTAGAAAATGTTTTTGGAAGTTGCTGTGATTCTGATGTCAGTGAGACAGAAAGTTAATGGCTCTGTTTTCTTATATCATCATGCCACAAATGAAGCTTTTGTGCTGTTGAATGCCATGAAAAATAGCTGGAATTAGCTGTTTGCACCTTAGATAAGGCTCCTACACAGGGAGCAAAGGGCTAGGAGGCCTGGAATATCTGCCCTGTGAGCAAAGGCTGAGGGAGCTGGGCCTGTTCAGCCCGAAGAAGAGGAGGCTGAGGGGGGACCTGATCAATGTCTATAAATACCTCAAGGGAGGCAGTGAGGAGGAGGGGGGCGGCCTCTTTTCAGTGGCGGACAGCGACAGGACTAGAGGAAACAGCCACAAGCTGAGGCACCAAAAGTCCCACAGGAATAGGACTAGAGGAAATGGCTTCAAACTGAAGCATCGGAAGTTCCACAGGAACTTAAGGAAACATTTCTTGACAGTGAGGGTGACAGAGCCCTGGCACAGGCTGCCCAGAGAGGTTGTGGAGTCTCCTTCTTTGGAGATCTTTAAAACCTGCTTGGACACAGCCCTATGCCACATGCTCTAGGTGACCCTGCGTGAGCAGGGGGGTTGGACTAGATGACCTCTGAGGTCCCTTCCAACCTTGGGCATTCTATGATTCCTACACTTTATGTTTAGAGGGCTGAATTTAGACAGACCTTAATAAATCTTAGTAAGCTAATTCAACCAGATTAAGTCAAACTTCCAACTGTTTCTGAAAAATGGCAAAATGGTGTTACATGCAATAGGAAATGCTGAAGTCTCACTTTACAAGAACATAGCTCAGAATAGAACTGGAAAATTTTCCAAATATGCCAAGATGTATTTTTTCTCTTGTATCTTTTTTTTTTTTTTTTTTAATGTGGGCTTATTTGATTGATTGATTTTGTTTCCTGAATAAAATGCATTTTTACTACGGTATAATGTATTTTTAATCTTATCAAAACAAAAGTATCCTTTTCTGAAAATGTTAAAATGGGTCTTTCTTAAATATATTGCTTAAATTTGATCTCCTTTCCTTCTGCAGCTATGTTCTGATGCAATTAACTAAATTTCCCAAAGCTCTTATATGATGAATCAATGTGAGGCAGGGAAACTTAAGAGAAAAGGGAACATCTTGCTGTACATCTGGATGATAAGCTTTCGGTTTATATGTCTTCTAGGTGCTGTAGGCTACAGTACATAAAGAAGTCTTAGAGGGAGACAACTGATCTGGAAGGCTGCTCTTTGCTAATCTTCATGCATGTTATTGATATTGAATGAAGGTTCGAGAAATGAATTTCAGAATAGTATCCAATCTGATGATTTCTATTTTTCAGAATTTTGAAATAACAGTGTCTGAGAAGTTTCTGTTATTTATGTACATTGGGAGGCATTAGAAACTTTATTGTTTTCTAAAGGATTTTAGTGCACAAAAATAAAATCTTTCTAAAAGCATAGTCAGTACTGTGCAAAGCACTGCAAGGAGTGTAGTGTCTTCAATAACACAATATGTGTAGCTGTATTACTTACTGAATGCCAATACCTTGGTCTCCTAATAATCAATTTGCTATAACTTTGTTACCAGCTTACTGATCTTTATGTTGATAAGACTGTCACATAAATTTAGACCTACTGATGATTTTATTACTCTCAAATATCCTCTGAATGACACAAGCTAGAAATAAGTAATTGAATCTTTGCATAAAATGGAGTAGATAATATAGCAGCTTTCTAGCTAATGCCACCTTGAGAAAGAGTATTAATAATGAATAATCTCCCATCATTGATAATTGCTAATCAACTACATTGATTATGTACTAATTAAAATTGATTTATCAAAATACCCTAGATTTCATATGTTCATAAATGTTGTTATTTTGCACAAGATATCAACTTATAATCCTTATATATAATCCTAGCTGAACACAAAACGTCTGAGTTTCAAATTTGCTCTCTACCATTAGATTGAAAACCAGAGGAGGAAGGATCTGAGAAGATATGTCGTAATAAAAATAATCTATCTATATTTAGGTTGATCTTAATGATTCTCCTTTTTCATTCTCCTTATATTTAACTTCAGTACAAGGTAGATAGTGGGGATATAACTTCCCTTTTTAGTTGAGTTATTACACATTACAAATGTTAAATATATTTATTTAGTATAAATAAAATACCAAAATTAACAGTAGTATTGTGGAGCTGTAAGAGCTAAGGGTAATCTCACATAGTTTGAAAAGAGTAGATGCTTGAAGCTGTCAAGGTCTTTATGAAGTCTGATGAAGACAGAGCAAGCAGGAAATTAAATAGGTAGTAGTCCTCTGAATGTTATTGAATTATGCTAATAAATCAGGAAATGTTGAGACTAATGGCAAAAAAACAGATAGAAAGAGAAAGGAGTGTCTATGTGTACGTCCATTCTAAAAATGTGTTTGTAGGGGGGAAAGATAGGTACTAGTTCCTGTATATTTGGGCTAGAAATAGTATGCAAAAATAGTGAGGAATCTGCCACATACAAGATATGAAGGAAATTCAAATATATATATATATATGCACACATATGTGTGCATATATATATATATTTGTGGTCATATTAGTAATCTAACACAGCTCCTAAAAGTTTAGTTTGGGACACTTCTTTCCCTTAGCTAGATTGCAGTCAGAGTAATTTTTTCCAGTGCGTGCTTGGCTCATGTTTGATTTGAAAAAGTGCTTGTGGGCCCTCGAGCTTGATCTTTTCCTGAGAGTGCACCATTCGGTCCAATAAAAAACAGCATCTCTCTCTCTGGATCATGATTTTAAGAATAGAAGGCCTGTAAAATGAGAAAGGATGGTGTCTACATTTGTTCAATGGAAATAAATTCCAAAATGACCACTGATATTTGTAGATTCATGATCAAGTTAGGCTGTATTTTTTTTTTTATATCTGATATGACATTCTTAATGATCATAGGCTTTTTTTCATTTTTCCAGACTAACTCAGAGTCATGTGGGTGAGTACTATTAGGCTGCGTAGTGCAGGGGGGGATCAGCTGATGAGTAAAGCCTTTGCTCAGCTTAATTGGCTCATTTTGCGTTTTGCAGATGTTAGATTTTCAAATTGACAATTCCATAAATGCACCCAAGCAGCTCTGATGTAACACAGAGAGCTGCTGCTTGGGAAAGACGAATCTCATTTGCAATGTAAGAAGCAGAACATAAAGAGAATCTGCCCTTGCAAATTCTCTTTCCCAAGGGTAAATTATAAAATTGAATGTCAAGGTCATTCTGACAGAGAACGTGCCTGGCGGAAAATGAAACTGCAGCTTCGTATGCCTTGGCTTTGAGTATTTTAATGAGACCTTTTTGAAGGTTTTCTTTCTTTTCTTCTTTACGTTGAAATGTAGCCGCAGTGGTAGCGCGGGAGGCTGAGGTGTGCGGCTGGTTTTGTGCTGGCAGGAGCAGCCACGCTCAGATCTGCCATTCCCTGGGAGGGATGGAGGCTGCTATGGCAGTTGCTATGACAACCAGCTCCACTTTGGAGCAGCCGTGCTCGGCACGTTGTGAAATGACTCCCTTCTCGCTGTGCGCCGGCCGTGCAAAAAGGTGATGCCTGCAGTTAAGAAGCACTGAGTTCGTCTAGATCAAAAATTAAATGACATTTTTCACTTGCCTCTCGGCACGTGGATAAGCCAGAATAGAGCATGATGGCAATTATAAAAGCACAAGGTTTGGGCAGAACGATACAATTTTCATTCTTGGGGGGGAAACAAATGCTTGTGTGAATGCATTTCACACACTATAATGTTATAAACTTCCACAAAATGTTATATGTGAGCATACAGCCTGTAGAGAAAAGCAGGGTATAGTACCAAAGTGGTTTACCATGGAGAAATCTTTTTATTCAAATAAATATAATACCAGAGGGTGAGGAAAATGCAGGGGAGCATGTGTAAATCAAGCGATGACAAGGAACTGATTACCCACCTAACAAATATATCTAGCAATATTGTTGTGTTGAGACTTCACAAGCTCTTAACGTATAGCCTAAAGTACATTATTTTCCTGCTATTATATACAAATATTCTCTGCAGTACCATAAAAAATGACTAGCAAATATGTCTTTCACGTGGAGAGTGGAGCATGAAAGTGCAGTGGCAGTTTGGATTTGTTTAACAAAGGCTTGTGCACAGGATCTGGCACTGGCTTAATAATATCCAGCGGAGCTGTTGGAAGTATATTCTACTCTGAAATATAATCATATTCAAAAACTATACCACTGTGGAATTGGCAGTGATCAAGATACAGCTCAGGTACTACATACCATTTAATTCTCTAGTTATTCTATTTTTTGTGCTTTTTACTTATGAGTATCTAATTTGCATAACAATTTTACAGTGACTTCTTAATGATGTGTGGTATGGCAAATGTTGCTATTGGATTATGCAAATCCCTGTAATCTTATTTCTTGAAACAACTACACAATTATTCTTGATAACCTCAATACAAACGCACAGGGTCCTCTAACCTGATTGCCCCCTAGTCTGAGAATATCCAGGCAGGTTGCCAGTGAAAAGCTACCTAGTTCAGCTTCCTTGCTGCCTTCCACTTATGCATTCATTGACCAGAGCACATGTGAATGAGAAAGAAAATTTAAATATTCACTCTGGCACATTTCTTGTTACTCTACTCACTTGGTATTTACAATGCTAGTGAGCAGAGGTCTGGCTCTGGAAATGCAATGCATGTACATATACGTGTTTGTGTGTGTCACATACATCGAGAGGTGTGTGGATATTTATTACCTTGAAAGCTTTTTTTCTTTTACAGCTGTATAACAGGGTTAAAAAAAAAATGGTTACTCTCCAGTCACCCACTTTTGGTCACAGGTAGATCAAGAAATTCTTTTAAAAATGTGAACAGTTAATAAAAATGAGCTTCCAGAATTCTGTTAGAAAATACACATGAAATAGGTAATCACTAACCAAGTCAGTCTTGATGTTAGCAGAGTATTGACTTGTTTACATCCAAGGAACATACAGAAAGCTTTATGCATCATCTGGATATTTTTAACTGCAGGTTTGAAATTTGACAACACTAATAAAATTCATCTGGATGCAAAGTAAGAAAAGTGCAAAAGAGAACAGGGCAAGCACTTCAACCAAATCAGCTTTTCTTGTCAAGTGTACAAGGTAAGGCATGGGTGGAGGCATGAAGAGGGAAAATGCTCTCTTATTCTGTCTCATCAAGCTCCATAGTGGCGTGGTTGCAGAGCAGTGTCTGGGTTAGTCTCAGAGGGCCCTCAGGCATCTCTGCAGGCTGCGAACAGGCAGGTCTGTGGAGCAGAAGTAACTCAAGTTCTGCCTCTTCTCCACAGCCCTTTGTGCTCTGGGTATTTACAGAGAAGACCTGCTGTTGCTATGCAGAATTCGGGTGCAAAATGCACCCATAGCAGATCTGGTATCTTCTTTTCAGCTTTCTCCATGTAAAATGACTGGTTAGCTCCACTGTTTTACTGACTATGCCCCACAGAGCTAAGGGCTGAGAGAAATGCAAGGACATCCTCCTTTTGAGCCTATTCATGGAAATCATGTATTGATTCTGGATGTTTTGTGTTCTGAGTCTGTCCTGGTGGCCCACAGCTGGATGTGTCCTGTTGCTTCCTGGTGCATGCTGACCACCCCGCCCAGAGGTAGCAATCTCTAATACAGACTGATCAAGACAACATCACTTGCCTTTGGCTCTGTTAGGCCCTCACTTGAGGTGTAATAATTTTATTTGGGAGGTTTTTTTTTTATTTTATGCAGATTTCATGGAATAGTAACAGTGTGGTATCACACCCTGCTTGCCTCAAGTGTTTATCCAATGACACTTGTTTTGTGTGTGCCTGCATGTGTGGGGCTAAACTGAAGTAAATATTGTAGTTCCATGGTGTGAAGGATGAAGAATGAGTGAGATCTATTCGAGACTAAGAAAAATTGAGGTTAAGGAAAGCTTAGAAAGGCTATCCCAAGCAGACATAGCTGTAATTGTCTTTCTCTTCATCTGTTCTGTCTGTCTTTCTAGAGGAGCTTCTGGGCTGCACCAACATGTCAACTGGAGGAAGCTGAACGCCTTGCTTCAATTTAGGTGAGAGCCATTGGATTTGCAATGTAATCAAGAGACTGTGATCCTGAACCAAGCCATGAAGTGAGCCTAACTGACACTGTCAGCACATCTAAGCACCAAGAGAGTTAAATAGTTTGGAGCAAATGAAGCACTCAGCTCAAGTAGCATCATGGGATGATTCTTGTTAAAATTATCTGTTTGCAAAATCCCCCTGAAACTGATGGGATGATATGTCTGTCTACTAAGAGCAGAGACCATGATCTGAATCTGCATAAGGAGCCAATACACACATGCTCTTCATCATTGGGCAAGGTCTGCGATGGTAAATGTCAATGTCAGTTCGAGTATTCTGAATTGTGAATTGAAGTGTAATAGCCACTTTGAGGCTTTGAGGGAGCTTTAGTAACTCAGTTATACTGAGGAAAGGACAATTTTTAAGTACTTTTCTTTCAGGAATAGAATTTCTTATTAACATATTTGGAAATACTTATTTCTTTTTTGATATGGATATCATTTAAACCTAAGACTCATTATTTATCCTGTTTATAGACGAAACCTGATAAATGTCTGAAAGTATCATAAAGATTTATGTTTGACAATGAATAGATCAATACGTTAGAATGAAAAAACCTAGATAAAAATTTCTTCTGTTACAAAAGAAGTCCCAAATTTGTAAAAAAAAAAGAAAAAAAAAGGCAATTTATGAGTAGAAAACAGACTCTTGTGTAATAACCAAGTCTTTGTTGGTAGTGAACAGATGCTACACCAGCAGTCCTGGGACTTTCATGGAGCTACTATGAATATGTTCACAGCATGAGAAGACGGGCAACATGCTGTTAAAATGCTGCTTCTCAAATCCCAGGACTGCTGTAGTGCTGTTGTCATGTCTGCATTAATTCAAAGACATGCTTAAAAAAGACCTATTATGATCTGCCATTCTGAAACTGTGTCAGTGATTTTATATTTTAGCCCTTTTAGGGCTGAAGGGCTAGGAAGAAAAATATCTGTCTTTGTAGAAGAATATGTCTAGGGGTTTAACATTCTTAATTCAATTGTTGGTAAAAGGACTTTTTCCAAAACATAAAATAAAACATAAAATAATCTAAAAGGAATGATTAAAATTAGCCAGGTGTATTTTGTTTTGCAAAAACATTCATTCTGACAAGAAACTGTCATTGTGCAATGACACAAGAGCTTTTAGTTTCATTTTTAACCATTTTTAATAGGGAATAAAAGTGGACAGAGAGCTTTATATTGAAAATATACTATACTTCAACATAAAAAGGAAACTTTTTTTTTTTTAATGTGTCTATTTCCAGGAGCCTTCTTTTAGCTCTTCAGTCATCCTTTATTAAATAGACATGCCTGGAGTGGTGACGTCTTCAAAGAAAACAAATTTCAGTGGCATAAAATCAATATGGGGGAAAGACTGAGGAGAGATTTATTAGTAGCATATTAAACAATAGCAGTAGTTTAGTAAAAGATGTAGAAAATTTTTAGAGTAGTTCATGCACTGGGCAGCTTTTATTCCTTTGTCCTCAAGGAGGATGAAAAAAAGACAACAGAACTGCAAGGCCAAGAGGTTTAGTTCTTTGTGATATAATCTAAACGCAGTTATATATTAAAAAAACATATAGGATTACAGCAAAACTGCGATAGATGATAAAGCTGAGTTGGTTCCAGAATAGATTGATATGCAGTAATGTAAAAAAATAAAGATCTCTCTGAAGATTCTGGAAGACAGTGAGGTCAAAGAGGTGAAAGACTTCTTTTTACATCTGATAAATACGTTAAAAATAACATATCGCATATATTGCATTAGAAGTGCCGTGTCAGATTTGGGAGAAATTACAGAAGTAAAACATATTGTAAAATAAATCTTGTGACACATTAGAACTGGGTGGCTTGTGATTAAGCAAGTCAGGGAGACGAGGACTAAGAAAGGAGTTAATGGCTACAATCCCTGCTGTGTTGACTGAACGCAGGGACTTGCTTACAGTACTCTTGAAAGCCGGTTAAGTGTATTATTCATAGTACTGTTGACTTGTTTGAAGTGTCTTTTTCATTTTAACTATATAATCTACTAACTATCATCTATACCATAGTCTCCTGATCGTTCTAGGTTAATGGAAATTGTATTTACTGACCAAAGGGCAATCTTGAGTTCTTCAAAAAATCTTCCTACTAGTAAAAGAGTTGATGTTAATATAACAACTGTAAAGTTGAAAGATTGTATACTGAAAACAAATTATTTTTTTAACAGTAAGAGCTTTTTATGTAGCATTTTTGGCCTCTTAAGAGGGAAAGTTTAACTATACTATGCTCTATACTGCCATATTCAAGCTCCTTTGTGCTAATTTGGATTTCTCTCTATAACAAGAAAGTGCAAATTGGGAAGCTGCAGTGCAATCATCCTGGAAAGGAGTGTGGCATAAGTATACTTTTAATATGAAAAAGGATTGTTGGGAGACGTTCACATTTACTTTTCCTGCCCTAAAATGTAATAGCAGCTCTTCTCTGTCCTTGGACTAACACCAACAGGCCACCAAAATGCTTTTAGTAAGATCATCATCAGGCACTGGACACTTGCTGGAGGGGCTCATTTAGGTGTACATGCATCACAAAACTTTATAACAAAGGCAAAACTTTTGCTCTGTTGGCACAATGTTTCTTTTCAGGAAAGCAGCTTCTGTCTCTCTTCTCTTTTTCTCCTGATTTATCTAATGCTTATATATGTTTTAAACCTCTTTGCTAAGGTAATTAACAAAATTTAGGACTGCCCATGCAAGTAAATGTTACTCTCCATAGGATCAGGTGTGTTTAAAAATAATACTTTGTACTGAGTCTTTTTCATTCAATAGCTAGACACCTCTGGAGAACATATTTCAGTTTAGCTTCACCCAAAAGGAAGAGAGAGATCATTCTGCACCATAAACCAAAGCACTTTAAAGGGGGATAATCAGAGATTGGTTACAAAAAGTGTACTCATCTGAATTAAAATATGAACATGTAATAATATACCTCATTGTACTGATTAATACAACAATTCTCCTCTGTCATGATCAGATGCATAGGGTTGTTACAACAGGCTGTACAAATATTTAGGAAACATAGCCCAGTGCCATTAATATGTTATACGGGCACTTCATAGTAACATGTTTCTGTTTTGCAGACTTTTCAAACTGTACTATAAGCCTAATTGCTTTTAGTATTCATGTAACATAATTATATGACCTTGCTTTGCAGCCATTATGTACTTTGTGCTTATTTCTAACTCTCAAAAGCTCTGTGGGAAAAGATTAAATGAAGCTTTTACCTTGACCTTTCAAAAGAAATTGCTCTCTATCCTTTCTGTATGTACAGAATGATTAAGAGAAAAAGGGAAATATGGCTCATAGTGGCAGGATCTTCTTTCTCTATCTTTTCTTTGCACTGTCTCTCCTTTTTCTTTCATGTTATTATACATGTATGAATGTATATACACACAAGTGTATATATGTGTACTGTATAACATATATACCTATATAGTGTATATATGTTTGCATATAAGATAGTGTATACATGTTTGTACTGGCAAATTCTTCTATGTTATTCCATGCAATTTCTGAGAGGGTAGATGGAAACTACATTTGAATTGCAACAGCAGTTTTGAAGATGAACAGTTCTCACTGTCTGAGATCAACTCCAAGGAAAAGCAGCACTGCTTTGCAAGGAAAGGTGAAGTCTGTGTTTAGTCTTATTCCCCAGGACTGCAAATTCTCATAACTTTAATTGCATTTTTTGTGATTTTTTTTCAAAAGCATTTACTCTTAGGGTGATATGAAACACCTGCATGCTTTTCCTAGAAAGTTGCTTTCATATTCATCATACTTGTTAACAAAGGCTTTAAAAGTGTTTTAAATACCATCTACTGTTAAAGACAAAAGGGAAATATAAAGGAATTCAATGGAGGTGTATTACTCAAAATGAGTGTTTTGGAAGCTGATATGTGTTATTTTCCTTCAGATTGTCGAGGTTGGGAAAACTATATTGAAACTTGTAAT